GCTGGTGCCTATCTCCAGCTGTCTACGGGCGAGAAAGGGGGTACACCCTGGACAGGTCACCAGTCCATCGCAGGGCAACACAGAGACAAAAAGGACAAACAACCATTCACGCACACACCCAAGGAGAATTTTGGGATTCTCCTTAGGTAATTAACATAGCAGTCATGTTTTTGGACTGTGGGAGGAAGCCGGAGTACCTGGAGAAAACCCACGACTACACAGGGGGAACAAGCAGACTCCATGCAGACCCCAGGCCGGGTATCAAACCCGGAACCTTCTTGCTGCAAAGCGACAGTGCTACCCACTGCACCACAGAGCAGCCCTATCCACAATAAACTGCTGCTCTACACAAATAGATATTTCAAATGTGGCATCAGGTCCAGAGCGCTGCAGCATAACTATGCTAGTGTGATGGTATGGAGCCCAGTCACAGCTCTGTTACGGGTAAAATAACCGCAATGTTTATGCATTGTTGGGTTTAAAGGTGGTTGGGTTTCCATTACTTAATAATTACCAGAAGAACTGAACAGAAGCCTGCGATGGACTGGCGACCTGTCCAGGGTGTACCCTGCCTCTCGCCCATTGACAGCTGGATAGGCACCAGCACCACTCGCGACCCCACTTTGGAGGAAGCGTGTTAGAAAATGGATAAATGGATGGGTAAACATAAGCAAACTCTAGCATCTAAGCAGAATAATAAGCCTGTGCAGAAAAAAACATAAGCCATCTAATAAAGCAATCATTTGCTTGAATCAGTTTATTTGTGGTAAGAACATTTTTAAATGATTCAAAATAGTTGCTTAAAGCTATTTAGCTTAAAAAATGTAATGTAAACAAAGTGGAACAGAATCGCTTCATCATTACATCTATATGCACATGTTTCTGTTCCATTCTTGTAAAAATATCATTTAAATTTTGAGACCATAAAAAAGTACAAAAGCAATATAAAAATAGAAAACTGATTATAGTGAAATACCTTTTACTTTCATGGAAAAGCAACCCTATCATCTTAACCTGCACTCTGCAGTTGTCCACTACATAAAAATCTTTACTTTGTATCTTTTAAAGCACAAATCACCTCACAAAGCCCTGTAATGCGCACTAACACTCAACAAAGCCCCAGTTCATTTGAAAAATAAATAAATCATGCATAAAATCTTGGCACTGCTGCTCTTGTGTCGCTATCTATGGGGTTGTATGCATTGTTTCATAAATCTGAGTTCTTGTGGTGCGCTTCAGTATGAACGCTTTGCTCTGTTTTTGTACGTGAGGCTTCAGGATAGCTGCTTTAAAAACTTAATGATTCTGTGGGACATCATAAATGGCTTATTGTTTTCTCTGCATTTAATGTTTAAGCTTTTAAGTTAAATGAAGTGACAGCTTGAACACACACTCACACAACCAGCAGCTAACATCACATAAGATCTCCTTTTAGTCACTGCTGCATCCCTCATTTTATTTCCTTTATTTCCATTTTCACTTCCACATGATTCTGCCAAAGCATCTATCTGCCTCCCACCATACTGGTTCTTATCCTTTTAACTGTTCTTTTGTTTCATCATCCCGCTTTTTTTTTTCACCAGTCACACCAGACCTGAAAGCAAAACTGATTGAATCGGTTTGTCCCCCTCTGTCTGTCTGTAGGTCTAAAAAAAGGAAGCGCTGCATGTTCGCAATCAAGGGAGCTCCTTTTTCGTGCTGTGTGCTTGATAGTGCCGCTTTCTCTCACTGACATGCAGACACTCACATCACACATGCAAAAACCAAAATACTGTTATTATCGCCCTGCAAGGAGAATTTAATGAGTGGAAGTAATGAGAGGAAACTCCGTGGGAAATCCCTCTTGATCAGGAATTCATTTAAACCTCCTGAAGGAAATAATTACAGAAGGATCCTGTGGGAATGCAATGTAATTTGAGAAAGAAAAATAGAATACCTTTTAAAGTCTGTAGGTTTTTAATATATTGGGGTTTATAAGTATTAAACATCTATATTTACAATGGTAAGATATCCCAGTTTTAGAAGTAAACAGCAATTTAAAAAAAAAATGGATGGTAAGAAATACATTTGGACACCCCATTATATCGTTTTTCTTCAAATGGTTGAAATAACATGCAGGTCTACCACCACCAGGCCAACCAAATGAGGATGATGTACCATTTAAAAATAGATTTTCCCAGTTTGAACCGATTTATTTGTTGTTCTCCTGACTGCTAAAGTGAGGTAAGATTAAAAAGAAGTGTCTGAGGCTTTCTGAGAGGAAAACTGCAGCAGCATCTGAGCTTGGTAGGGGATTAAATTTTTTAATTCTTATATTGTCCAGAAACGTGACCAGGTCCTATGTAGTGTTAAATTAACTAAATTAATATTAAGTGAAATAAATACATCTACCGTTAAATATACCATTGGATAATTGAAATGATTTATTCATTTATACATAATTTGATAGATAAATATTTATATCATGAAATTTACAATGAAATAATAACATGCAATACCTGGAAGGCACCCAACATGTGTCTATACAAAGATGGCAGCCATCCAGCTGTCAAAGAGAGATTTTTTAAAGGCACCTCAGGGAGATAAATTAAAGGTATAGTGGAGGATTTTTCGCATATTTCTACCTTTAAAAAAGAAAATTCACATGCACAACCCTGTACCCGCTCCCGAGAGGAAATGCCTATTAAACGCATGCGAGAGCATGCACAAACTCATTTCTGCTCGTGCACGCTCTGTTTAAAAGTTGCCGTTTGCATTGCTCATGCAAGCTTACTTTTTCCCTAATGTCTCGTGGTATTTATTATTTTTTATATATTTTGTTATTTTGCCACTTTTTTTTATATTAAACCTGCAAGAAACCACCTCACCTTCTGTCTCTGCATTTGGGTCCTCTAAAAACCTCCACTCAACCTGACAGAAATGGTTTGTGTGGTTGCTCATATTCTAATAGTAGGTCTCTATGTGTTTGTTTTTCACAGATCATATGGAAAATGCTTAAAAAAAAACAAGCTTGCAGGTTTTAGGTTTGCAGCATATTTACCTTGAATCATTGTTGAAGCCTACCACACCGAAGGATTCTCTTGAATAAGGCAACTAATGAGAAATATCTTTCGTCTCTGATTCTTTCCCAGCCTTCTGGCTTTAATCATGTCAGGTTTTCCTGTAATAAAGTGTTTCGAGGTTTATAGTTATTTTTGTTATTTTGTTTTTTTCCCTTGTTTTGTTATGAATATAACATTTATATTTACCTTTTGAGAAAGTAAAGGGTACAAATTACATATATTTGTGTTTAAATGTAGGGAGTAGAAGTACAAAGACCTAAAAAAAACAAAAAAACAAAACCTGAAGTTGTAACTGGTAAAAGCTACCAAAGTATAGCAACAAACTATTATTATGTTATTAAATGACACCTCTGGCCTCTTTTTGCTATATGAAATAAAGTGTTCAGTAGTTTGGTAAAGAAAAATTAATAATGAACTAAAAAAAGAACTACATTGTAATTAGTGTTGCACCGATACCGATACCAGTATCGGACGGGGCCCCGATACTGCCCTAAAATGGTGGTATCGGTATCGGCCGGTATTGCACAGCCAGGTATCGGGTATCGGTATCGGGGCCAAAAAATGGCATCGGCGCAACTCTAATTGTAATTTGCCTCTTGGATTACCTGTAATTTCCCTCTGGGATTATTAAAGTATGTCTGAGTCTGATTCTGACTGAAACAATGAAGAAATTTAATTAGCTGATAATGCTGAAAAGCCACTGGCCACAGCTGCAGAGAACTTGCTGATGCAGTGGAAATGGATCACCTTTTTAAAGCTTAGGGAATACGTCTTAACGTCATGTAGTGTGAGGTTGGAGCAAGAAAAGGTTGGAGGTAGGAGTTCAGGTGCTACATGGTGAGTGAAAACAGAATTTAATGAGAGAACTGAGCAAGCTTAAGGGGGGACAGAGAGAGCAGGAGATGGAACAAGGGCAGCATAACTTGACAACAGGACATGTGATTAGTGACATGGAAACCAGGTGAATCTAATCAGGGGAATACTAAACCAATGAGGGAGGGTACTAAGCAGGGGAACCTAGGAAAGGAGACAAATCAAAGAACAATAGGAACTAGAACTTGAAGGGAGGGAATAATTTAAGAAAATACACCAAACATTTAGAGAAAAACACATGACATTAGTAATACTAAAAGAGCACCAAAATGGTCAAATTATAAATGATCAGTGATCAATCAAGTCCAATGCTCCCAGAGCGATTTACACTACATTCAGCCTGATGGTGCCTGAAGGCTGATGATGTAGCCAGAGCTGCCATAGGTGCAACTGACAAATGAGCAGGGTCTCTGACCTCTATCAAGAGGCAAACAGACCAGGCTGGGATTCAAACTGGCAACCCTCCGGTTTTCAGGATGAACTTTTGCATCCTACGCTACTGGTGTCCCTGACACAGACAAAAACCAAGACCCAAACACATAAAAATACCACCATTTATTTTCTCTGATTCTGTTTTTTTTTTTAAATCATACTTTTACCCCAATTAAATAAAAAATATTTCCCATGTACTGATGTCCAAAAGGAGGTTGTTACTAAATAATATATTACTCAAGATATATGAAGGAAATGTAGACAGCAGTAATCTTTTAAACATTTTACAGAAACACAAAAGCAAGTGATTCAACAAAAATGGGACCTTGGAAACAGGTTCTCTCCTGTTGTGTCTGGGGAACACTGGCTCAGGCTATTTCAGGGCTCAGCCTCTCTCTAGTGACTTCTAGCAGCAGACAGGCTCATTAGCTAGTACAGGAATGTATAGAAGAGTTGCTTTGTGGACACACATACACGTATACAGTTTGGACACACACACATCCACATCCACCCCCTCACACTCGCATGTTATGCACCGTGCACCTGCACACACACACACAGATTCTGGATCCATTCAGAAAGTAACCAGAGATGGTGTTTATAAGTGTTAACAAGGATGTTCTTCCCTTTCAGTTGCTCTCTTCTGGTGTCTCCTGGACATTGTGCCCATTAAGAATGAGAAGGGTGACGTGGTGCTGTTTCTGGCCTCATTTAAGGACATTACTGACACTAAAGTCAAAACCACCCAAGAGGAAAAGAAAGAAGGTAAATATAAATGTGAATATTGATACTGTTGAATGGATATTTTTTCAAACTAAAGATTGAAAAATAATATATATCAATGAAGTCAAATTGTGCATTTGGATGTTCTCTATAAACTGCAGCATTCTATAGAGCAATGGGAATAAACAAGTTTTGTGTAATGTTAAAACTGGCTTTTAACTCTGTTACTCGGATGGGTGCAATACCACTTTTAGCTGTATCTACTCTTAAAGTTTCCATCCATTTTTCAAAAGTTCTGATATTAAGTTTAACTATTTAATGTCTTAGCTTTCATGTTCCATAGCAACAGCTTCATTCTTTTCTTTTTAATGTTTTATTTTGAAGGTGTGCTCGGATCCATGTTGCAGTGTGAACAGAGATTGTGCTGTTGCATGGACAGCATTACATTTGACCTTTATACATTTGATATACAGAGGAGATGATGGCGCACCAAATAACTGCAATGTGACAGCGTCCTTTAGCTGCAAAACAAGCTCTTATTATGACATGTTCACCGCCTGTGTTGATATGGATTAATGTGCTGTGTACTGTATTTGGTTTGTCCAAACACAGCGCTGTGCATTAATATCAAACATCTCCACTTTAGTCCCAACTGTCAACCAACACTGTGAAAGAAAATGAATAAACAAATGTGGTTTTTTTGGTTTTTTTTGGATGCAACTCTGCAAACACATTCTGTTCTATTATATTTTATGTAGACAGTCAAAATTTTTCCATGTTTCCCATTAAAGCGAGCAAAATGGTTCACAGCTTATTTTGTTGTTGTTGATGCTCCACCATGAACTTTAATGTTTAGTAAGACAACAAAGTCAAGCTATTATTGCCAAAAAAATATTGGGCTTAATTTATTTTCCAATTAATCGGATCCTGTGATGTATTAACTTGGGCGTACAGTTTGGAGAGGACTGGCCGCTTTTCTAAATATTTTCACCATATGAATAATCTTTCTTCTGGAAGACCAATGGACTCCAGACAATTTGCCTGATACATTGTTTGCCAGGAACTATTGCTTCTGTAAGGTTTCTACCGTCTGTTAAACCTATTTGCAGCTATTATCCAGTTTGAATCTCATGGAAGCAGGCAGTGGTGTACCTATTCTTTCCCATTTTTTTTTATTCTGAGAGGTTTATTTGTATCTTGACTTATCAAAGATTAACATTAAGCAATCAGTTAAATTTGTAGACATTAATCTTAATTTCCTTTTGGTCTGAAGTGCACTTATTTTCCGATAATACTTATTCAATCTAAAAAAGTAATGTTACCTTATGCACATTTGAAAGAAAAAAAAAAAGCTATCACACCAAGATAATTTTTCTACATCAGTTTCTACGTGAATGTATAGTTGGTGTTTAGTTTTTTCTTATTTGGGTGTCTTCACATCTTTTTATCAAGATATTAATCCCCCCAAACCTTAAGTTCTTTCTACAGTATAGATAAATAATAGGAGAGATGTGGAAAAGGATGAATAAGATTTTTTCTTCAGAATTAGTGCAAAAAAATGTAGTCACACATTTTGAATAAACAATAAGTATTTAAAAAAATATTTGTATATATATATATATATATATATATATATATTAGTGCTGTCAAAATTATCGCGTTGTTAACGCGAGGCCATTTTAATGGCGATAATTTTTTTAACGTGAGATTAACGCTATGTGGTTTTATGGTACAATTTTCCAAGTACATCTCGCTGCAGCCT